TAAAGAGAGAGAGAGAGAGAGAGAGAGAGAGAGAGAGAGAGAGAGAGAGAGAGAGAGAGAGAGGGGATTTATTTTTTAAAAAGGGGGCGGTTGCAGGGGAAACGAATGGAAGGGGGTGTTGTAGTCCGGGTTCTTTCTACTATAAAAAGCAGCTTGTAACTCATGGGTGTTTCAAATTTCACCCAGGCACGAAGATCGTGTGTTTGCTGAAATTGTTAATATTAATCATAGTCACAGCAGTTCGAGAAGAACTCTTCTGTGAAGTCAAAAAACCACCCTCTGGGGTCTTAACACTCGTGTGTTCGGTCAGTGACAGTCACAGAATGGTTGATCAAGCTAAGACTGCAGTTTTTGGGTTTCTCTTGGTCTGTCTATGGGCTGGCACTACTGAAAGTTGTGAGTATTATTCTCATTGTTGTAACTGTTCATAACTTATCTCCCTCCTTAAGGGTACTTTTCTGACGTCTGCGCCTATATTGTTGTTTTTTTTCCATCGACATGAACCTCCAGGGCAGTTTAAATACATACATGTAAATCATTCATATTGAAAGGCAAACTCTGCAAAAAAGTTAATAAATTAACAAAACAACAAAAATACACAGCCTTAATTCACACCCTGATGAAGTATCCCTTCTTGACTTTCTGTATCAATTGTCTGCAGTAGCTGTCAAAATAATGTGTAAATTAAATTGTGTTCGCGTGAGGCTGTGTTCTTCCACAGTAGCATTGAACAAAAGGGTTCAAAATCGCGCCCTGAAAGATTTTTTTAAAATGTTAGACAGTTTTAATTTAAACAATATTATGGGGTGGGAGCCTAGCTATAACGTGCATAATGGTGGAATGGCTTTTTACAGAACCTACAGATAAAGGCCACCACCCACAAACAAAAGGCCACCACCCACAAACATGCAAAAGCACTCATGTTCAGCAATTTGTTTTTCTACTGTACTGCACAGTATTTCATTTTTTAAAGATCTTCTCTCTCTTGGTAAGATCTATATAAATTCATATATTCTAGATGTCTTATTCATATTCTCTCTACTGCAGAGTATTTCATTCTTTTACAATATTTCTCTCTCTCTCTCTCTCTCTCTCTCTCTCTCTCTCTCTCTCTCTCTCTCTCTCTCTCTCTCTCTCTCTTTCTCTTATGAAGATCTATATAAATTCCTATATTCTACATGTCCTATTCATAATTTCTCTAAGATATGTGTCCCCTTTCCTCAAACACATGTTGTATTCTATCAGTGTATTAGCTTTGTTATCTACCATCCAACATTATTATTATTAATACCGTTCTAAAATATATGTTAAAGTAGGTGCCTGTGGGATACTTTAAAAGATGCGCCGAATTATAAATTCCCAAAGTCTTTCTATTAATTCTCTATAGTTGTTTTCCAACGTAAACGATACGTGAACTAATCCGAACGTTTAACAGCGCTGTCCTAAAAGAACGGGAACAGACATTGATGATCATGGAACCCCATTCCTTCATGTTGTCAGTTCTCCTGATCTGCTCGGTTTATTTATTTATTTATTTATTTATTTTTAAATTGGATTGTTTGTTATAAAGTAGTTGAGGCTATACATAGATGCTTCCCCTGCCTTTTTTACAATTTATCTTTCCACATAGTTCATGGAGCAATTTCTTTGTATCACGCATAAGTCAAATCTAGTATAACCTGTTGGCACTTACATGACCAACATTGTGTGGATAGTGCCATAAAACACCTATTCAATCAATCTTAGCGTGCCCTTTGTTTGTTTTCCTAACCAACTTTTTGTCATTAAATTTGCGAATGCGATTTCCTCTAAAGTGACTTAAAACTATCTTGAACACTCTAAATTGATTAGAATTGAGGAACTGCGAGTTAAATAACACTCATTACTGCTCGCGGATACGTTTGTTTGTGTGTCATTTCCGTTAGATTTAAAGGGCATACGGTCAATAGCTTTTCTGTAATTGTTTTAAACAATTAATTACGCCAAGGAAAAAGTCGATAGATTTGACATTCTATTATCCATTTAAATCGTTTGTCCCCTGGGATTTTTCTGTTCATGAGGTATAGATGATTAGGTCTAAATGATTTATATCCCCATTGACACGATTTACATCATTTCAAGAACTAGGGCTCTCTCAAAATGCTTGTCGGAAGAGGTGCCTGTGAAAATACTCTTAAAGATTTATATAAATGTCGTGAAGCATGCTAACAAATTGAGTTACTTCTCGAATTCAAGCCTTAAGGAAATAGATACATCACGCTTATAGGTGAAGATTTTTACAATTTATAAGTAAAACATAATGCAAGACTGGTTATAGTTAAATAAATATCTCCATTTGTGGATTGCAATAAGTAACTCATTTTGTCGATCAGCACACCTCACAAATGTGAGAATCGAACGCACATCTTCTACGTGAATGTAAAAGCAACTTGACAATTCTCTACAGGCGATAAAATCAGAGCGTGAGAAGAAATGGGATTGATATCAAGTTTTGATGAGAATTGTAGGTGTTACCGAATGGAACAGCATAATATTTTAAGACTAAACAACATGACGAGAGAGAGAGAGAGAGAGAGAGAGAGAGAGAGAGAGAGAGAGAGAGAGAGAGAGAGAGAGAGAGAGACAGAGAGAGAGAGAGAGAGAGACAGACAGACAGACAGACAGACAGACAGACAGACAGACAGACACACAGACACACAGACACACAGACAGACAGACAGACAGACAGACAGACAGACAGACAGACAGACAGACAGACAGACAGACAGACAGACAGACAGACAGACAGAAAGGCAGGCAGGCAGGCAGGCAGGCAGAAAGACAGAAAGACAGAAGACAGAGAGACAGAGGGGCAGAGAGAGAGAGAGACAGAGGGACAGAGAGAGACACAAAGAGACAGAAAGAGAGAGACAGAGAAGAGAGACAGAGAGACAGAGAAGAGAGACAGAGAGACAGAGAGACAGAGAGAGAGAAAAGAAGGGGGAGACAGACAGACAGACAGCTTTTTAAGTATTCGAATAATATAATATTATTTCCAGAAAAAAAATGTCACTCGCTCTAATCGTCACTGAAAATCGGGACTATTACATTTATGCATTTCTTGAAAAGAAAATCAATTTTACAGCAACTCTGTTCGGGTAGAGATACAAAAGGACTCTCTATTAGTATATTGCTACAAATGTACTATGGTGACAAAAGCTAGTAGTGCCAAATAGGCGTGTGAAAGCGCACAATAATTAAATTCTGCCCTACGATTTTGTCAAAATTTTTAAACTACGAGTATGTATGTGAAGGAGCGTGGTGAAATCAGGCGCTCGTCCAAATAACGAATTCTTTTATCAATTTTTTTTTTGACTTAACTTATTTTATTTCCATATAAAAACATATTTCCATATGACTTTTACTGATAAACTTTGATTAAAGGCGCAAAGTATATAATTTTTCAGTTTTCAATGACCCTTTAGCTATTGGATTTACCAAACTTTGGCGGCCATTTTCTCTCTTACTGTACCTCTGAAACAAGTCCACCCGGGCCTCCTTCAATCGCAAGTACTTCGACTTCTATTCAATATAGAAGCATATTTTGTCAACTAAAAGGAAGACAAATGGACAGGCTTTAAGATGCCAATAACCCCATATCCCCAAAAATTGACGAGCGCCTGATTCCACCAAGTCGTGACACATGGATGGAGGCAGCAGATATAACTTTTGTATCCGTTCAGCAACAGACCAAAGAAAATGTTGCGGAACTTGTCGAAGCATTATACGCACATCAGAATCACGAGTTCACTTTTGTTTTATGGAATGCGTATGTTGTTGCCTGTCTTTTCAAGTTTTCGATAATGAAAACAAAATTGACAAATACCTACCCCCCGGGGCGGTGCCACTGACTGAAGTGTCTTTAGGCCATTCCCAAAGGGGGGATATTTCTCGTTCACGCACAGTAGAATAGTAAATGGGCAGATTCATCAATGGCACGCTCATAACTGTGCCTGCTCTACAACAGGGAACTGATGCTTTTTCTTTCCTAATCCTTACAAATGTCATTTTTTCTCTACTTCTTTTGTATATTTGTCACACTCTTGTGACCCACTATTTCCGGGGTGCCTTGATAGTCGCAGCAGACTTTGTGCTGTTGAAGTTAGAGAGGTGAGAAGAATAAGTTTGATTCCCTATAAGGACTTCTCTGTTGACATCCACCCCTTGGCGTTCATATGACCTTATGCAGTTGCGAGCGCCGTAAAACCTCTACTAAAACTAAAAAGAAAAATACTTATCATTAACAACGTTATTATGTTTTTTTCGAGTCCCCCCAATACAGCGTGCCTTAAAGAGCAACACATTTTTCGTCAATGTTGTCAATAATTCATGCCCTTCTGAATACATGTATTCTATTCTGACATTTCGATTTCTTTTTCTTATCTCTTTCCCAGTAAGCATCAAGCCAAGAATCTGCCCCCCTGTCTGCAAAATCTACTGTCCTTTTGGGAACGTACAGGATAAGAATGGATGTCCGACGTGCAAATGCAAACCTAGAATCTGCCCTATCGCCACCTGCTATATCGCGTGTCCATTCGGAAGACAAAAAGGCAAAGACGGATGTGATCTGTGTGCTTGTAAGGGTCCCCCCAATCCCATATGCCCCATAGTGAGGTGTCCACTGGACTTTAGATGCCCCTTCGGGTTTGCCAAAGACAGGGCAGGATGCCCTACGTGTGACTGCCGCCGCAGTCCTATCTGTCCCTCCAAGCTGTGCACGAATGTATGCCTCAGCGGTTACGAGAAGGACTCGAGAGGTTGTGATACCTGCACATGTAAACGCCCAGTACAATGTCCAGATATCCTCTGTCCATTCCGGGAATGTCTGAACGGGGTTGTCACCGACTCCCGGGGCTGCAACACGTGCACCTGTAAGCCTCCTGTGTGTCCAAGTGTCCAGTGTGACTTTTGTCCTTTTGGCTACGTCAAAGACAGCAGAGGATGCCAGACCTGTCGGTGCAAGCCTCGGAGGTGTCCAGGTTTCCACTGTCGCTTCTACTGCGCCATGACTCCACGCTACACCTCGAGAATCGACAAGTGCGGCTGTAACTGTGGCAGAGAGCGGTTGTTTTAATTTACGGGACCGCTCTTTAGACCCCTTTGTTGTACTGTGACGTTCTGTACTCCATATTTGAAAAGCATTACTGTAATATTATTTCAATATATAGGTATAACTTTTTGAGTCTGCTATTGATTGCTTGTTTACTTCTTACTATATATATATTTTTTTTATTTTTTTTTGGGGGGGGGATATCGATTTAATCATATGGTGGGGTAGGGGGGGGGTATTTATTTGCATATGTTTTAATAACTGTGTAGCTCTTTTTTGTGCTTGTTTTCTTATGTCTAGTCAGTCTTCGGTCACAACGGGTTCAAGGCTTTGAACTATCGCTTTAAGGTTTTTTTTGTAATCTGAATGTAGTTTTCTCAATTGTGATTGTATGTTGACATCGCTTATGCCCGAGGACGTTTATGATAGTGGTCTAGAGAGCTCTTTCATTGCCGATGAAGAATGATACAGATTTTGATTTGATTTAACACCACACTATTCGAGTTCTTGTGCATCATCAACTTTCGAAACAGATGCCTGAGTGTGTGCAAAAACACTCCACACTGTATTGATTGCAGGTGAATATCTTTCAAATCTCCACTGCCAGTGTTATGTGTGTGTCATGAGCATGACATATTTGAGTGTTTGATATTACTATTAGAATGCTTGGACATTAATTTATTGATCATGTCATAATGTGCGATGAAGTAAATCTGAATTGATAAATTGTATTGTTCTATAATCTGGAGCTTAACTCTGGACCATTTTTGTATGTGCACTTGTACCGTATACCCGAAGCTGCTTTTTGCAATAAAACATGAAGACACCACGTCACGTATGTTCAATTAAGTGTTATTTCTGTTACTGTATGTCCGTGGTTCCTACCTCAATATAGCGCTGCTCTTCCTTAGAATCCCCATAGGTGCAATATGGGAAACTGGGAAACAAAAAGTCTTGCCAAAATTAAAATACCACCCCCCCTCTCTCTCTCTCTCTCTCTCTCTCTCGCTCTCTCTCTCTCTCTCTCTCTCTCTCTCTCACTCTCTCTCTCTCCCACACACACATACACACACACCCTCTCTCTCACGCTCCCTCTCTCTCTCTCTTTCTCTCTCTCTCTCTCTCTCTTTCTCTCTCTCTCTCTCTCCCTCCCTCTCTGTTATCTCTTCCCCCGTCCCTCTGTCTCTATCTCTTTCTCTCTCCCTCTCCCTCTCTCTCCCCCTCTCTCCCACTCTCTCTCTCTCTCTCTCTCTCTCTCTCCCTCCCTCTCTGCTATCTCTTCCCCCATCCCTCTGTCTCTATCTCTTTCTCTCTCCCTCTCCCTCTCTCTCTCTCTCCCTCCCCCCTCTCTCTCTGTCTCTCTGTCTCTCTGTCTCTCTCTCTCTCTCTCTCTCTCTCTCTCTCTCACACACACACATCCTATCATTAAGTGCCAGACTGACGTATGTGGTGTAGCGATTAGGCGTTTTGCTGTCGCTCGCACGCAGGAGACTTGTTCGGTTCCGGGTTGTGAGAATACTTATCGAGTGTTCACGGCCTTTCTACTGAGATGTTGTACCATACTCTGCCCAAGCAGAGTCTGAAACCCATCTCCTGAATGATATAAATTGTGTATTATATATATATACACACACATATATATATATATATTTATATTAACCCCCTCCCACCCGGGGGGCGGTGCCACTGACTGAAGTGTCTTTACGCCATTCTCAAAGGGGGGACATTTCCCGTTCTAATGCATAGTAGAATTGTAAATGGGCCGATTCACCAAATGTCACGCTCATAACTGTGCCTGTTGTACAACAGGGAACTGCTACTTCTTCTTTCCTTATCCTTACTATTGTCATTTTTCTTCTACTTCTTTTGCATGTTTGTCACACTCTTGTGACTAAATAACCTAACAGTGTTGATAGGGGCGTTGAACCTATACCACATCATATTGTTTTCGCCCCCGTTTTTCCGGTACTACTCTATTACTATGAGGGGTGTAGCTTATTTAAGAAAACAGCTGCCCGGAGGAATGAATAACAAATGTGAGGCAGCGCAGTGGAATCAGGCACTCGTCAATTTTTGGGCATGTAGAGCTATTGATGTCACCTTAAAGCTTGTTCACTTGTCTTTATTTGAATGAAAACAATATCTATTTGTCTTCAATACAAGTCGAGATATTTGCAAATGAAGGAGGTGGGGGTTACCTGTTTTCAGAGGTAAAATTACTGAGAAAATGTCCGCCAAAGATTAGTTATTTCCTTAGCAGCTTAAGAGTTCGTGACAACTGAAGATTTTAATTTTTTGTGCCTTTAATCTACGTTTTTCAGAAAAATCCTCACAGAAATGAGTTCTTTAATGGGCATGAAAGGTGTTGAGCTAAAAAACAACAATTTTATAAAAATACACAAACCTGTGAAAAAATGAAAGTTTCTTCATTTTGATTATTTTGACGAGAGCCTGATTCCATCACGCTGCCTCACAAATATGTCGTCTTCGATCTGAGTTTCTGCGTGCATGACAATCACAATGTGTCTATGAATGCGGCTGCTTTCTTTTCTTTCCTTTTTGTTACTTTAGTTGTGCCTTTAAAAAAATGATTTGCTAGAATTTCATAGTTGTAGTTATTGTTGTTGTTGTTGTTGTTATTGCTGTTGTTGTTATTGTTGTTGTTGTTGTTACTGTTGTTGTTGTTGTTGTTTTGTGCTTATTCTTAAAATCGAGTGTTTGTGGGTAGAAAACGGGGTGGGGAGGGGAGAGGGTCTCTTCTCGTTCTGCGCGCTACTTTTGTTTAAGTCCACAAATAGGATCCTTGTAGGTTGTTGGGTTTTCTTTTGCTTTTTTTATAGTCGTTATAATCAAAATGAACAATGTAATCATCATCATCATCAACAACATCAGAAAAAGAAGAAGAAGAAGAAGAAGAAGAGGAAGAGGAAGAGGAAGAAGAAGAAGAAGAAGAAGAAGAAGAAGAAGAAGAAGAAGAAGAAGAAGAAGGAGAAGGAGAAGGAGAAGGAGAAGGAGGAGGAGTAGGAATAGGGAGAGAAGGAGAGGGAGGAGGAATAAATGAAGAAGAGAAAAAACAGAAGAAAGATAGGCGGGCAGGGTGGAGAGAAAAGAAAAAAAATGAAAAATAAGTTCTATTCCTTATTAACTGATGTCAATATAACTCATCCATGCCTTTTCTTCCCCCTCTCTTTCTCCAGACATAAAGGCCCAAGAGAGAGAGAGAGAGCGGTTCTGTCTTCTCGTGTGTACACATTTACCTCCTCCTTACACTCTCCGAGGTGCCATTCTAACCCAAAAAAGAGAAGCTTTCTCTCAGATTAACGAGTTGAACGTCCTTTGCGTGGGGAGCCAGACGCTTCGAACGGACCGAGTCAACCCAAAAAGTAGAGATAAGTGCCTGTCTCATGAGTCTGCTGTCGCCTTGTTTCAAACCAATTTACTCGAGATCCTATTTGCTTCAATTTCTCTTTTATTTCTGCCGTCCACTCACACTTTACTTTCGCCAGACTGCTTTTAATGTAATATCCCTAATGTGAGTTGACGACACGTACAGAGAGATTTATGATAGTGGTAAGGGAAAACGCACTGCATTAAAACAGTAAGGAGTTCCTGAACGAGGAATCTTACGCCTGCACAATAAATAAGGGCTCATTTCTCTCTTCTCCGTTGTGTTGTAATAGATCTGGGCTTTTAGGAAGAAACCTTGCTTTTGTATTATAATGCGTTATTGGAATACATGTTATGTTTGTTTGGTTTTTATTCTTTGCAAGTTCATAGACACTTTTTAGTTAACGAGGAAAATCATACATAAGTTATAACACAAAATTGGTGGTCTGTCAAATCAGCTTTAGCCAGGGGGGGGGGGGGGGAGCCAACACACTGAAAGTCCTCACTCAGGTCAAAATTAAAGATTTTGAGATGCAGGCATTTTTGGCTTCTTCCAACCCTCCTACAACTACTTCATCGCATACGAGCACCCCTTAAGCCGTATTGTTTTTCCACACGGGGTATATATTAATCACCGCCATTTCCTCATAAAGTTAATCTATTATTTTCTTTTGTCGACCGTTTTCTCAAAACGAGGTTTTTCTATATTCATTTTTGAATAACTGTACCGCTTTACAAAAAAAATAATACAAAAAGAAAATATATAAATATATATACTCGTATATATATATATATATATATATATATATATATATATATATATATACATTTTTATATATATATATATATATATATATATATGTATATATATGTATATATGTATAGTTTTTTCATTTCAAATATAAACATAACAAATTCAAAGACCTCATAAAAAGACCGAATTACAGCTGGCAAATCCAAATATACAATTGACGTCATAAAAAGTCATAATACAACAATAGCATGTTCAAATGTAAACGTAGAAATCTCAAATGTAACATAATAAGGCAAATTCAAATGCCACATAGCAAGTTCAAATGTAAATATGCTTGAACTAGAGTAAAAGGAGGCTAAATGGGTGGTTGACGGCTGCTCTGGTGTGGTTTGCTCCTTCTTTCCTATCTGACATCGGCTATCATACTGATCACTCCTCCTTCTTTTTTGAGTCTGATACTCTCTTGTAACACCTCTAATCTTCGTCATCTATATGACCTTATTGAGTTGCAAGTGCCGTATAACTCTTCCTAAAACTAAAATGGAGGCTAAAAGTATAAGAAGTATATCAAGGTAAGAAGTAAAAGGGTTTGAGTTTTTTGGCTACAAAAATGTTAGACGTAAGCCGTGTGGTGCCACAAGGAAGAAATCATGTGAAACAAAAGTAATAGTTAAATTATATAAAAAACCGAAAATAAACTCATATGTTTAACAGAAACAAATTGTTATGATACAAATCAACATACTGCTGGTATATTATAGAACTAACTGAGTGAAATCTAAAGCCAAGTTTACTTATATTTACTTATTGTTGCACTACAAAACGCTATGGCTTATAGGCTTGCTTTGATCTGAAGGCTGCTGCCATTTTCACTATAGTCACAGCTTGTGTTTTTTGTTCCATCATCTGGGCAAGTGTGACCATCCTTTGTTGATGAGTCAGCTGAGTGAGCATTTGGTCTTTTGCTGTACCGAGCCTCGGTTTCAAATCGTATAAATTTCCAAATTCACAAGCGTTCTCGTAGATG